TAGATGTCAAAACGCACTGTAACCGATTATATTCTTTACAGGTGCAGATATTATTTGAAGAAAATGTAGCCTTATCGCTTACTTCGTTGTTTATTTATGTACTGTACTGACACCTGGCTCGATCAGCTAGACCTTCAAACAATGGTGTCAGGCACAGGAAATGGGTTATTTCGACGGGTTTGAACCAAACCTTCGCATGCTGGTCATACGCTGGGTATGTCGGGGTAAAGTTCGGACTATTAAGAATTTAACAAGCTGCACTATCGAGACTTAAGCTGTTCCTCTGCAATAGGTGTGGGTTGACACCCAATAGGCTATTCACGGCGCTAGAGTTTGTGAATGTGGTGATGGTCTCTCTGTGAAATCGTACAGCTTCGCATTCAGTGGTTGTACTACGTAGTCCTAAATCTCGTCCTTCAGTTTGCAGGGGTGTCTTCTAAAGTACCTAGGAAAGGGTTTGTTCTGGTGTTCACCTCGGTAGCAATCGACCAGGAACTCTTTGCTCGGTATGATATTATGCACACTTACTGGAATCTCGCCTTCTTTGACTGGAACCAATGGAGGCATTTTGTCTTCCCAGTGTCCACCTGAGACTCGCCGCTGGTGAAGTGTAAATGGTTGGTGTGTGAAAAGTGACGAAGATGGTGTCGGTAACATCCGCGAATCAGTTTCAATCAGTTTTGTTGACGTTGATTTAGGAGCAGTTTGTCCGAACTAAGACGTCGTTACTTGTTCATGGGAGTAATAAAGAAGAATTAATTTTGACAAAAAACCTGGTTTTTGGAGCTCCAAAATATGGTTCTGAAAATTCTACTTTTTAGTTTAGATTTAGATTATAATGAGCACATGTCTGAACGCACTTTTCTTGTCATGAGTTATCTAAGTATAACTCTTGTATTATGAGTAAGGAGATAAAAACGGTACGTTGCGGTATTCACGTACATAGATATTAGGGCGGGTCGAAATTTTAAGTTTTCTCAAATACTTTGGTAAAAGTGAAAATATGTTGTGTCCTGAGGTCTGTAAAATATTAGTCGTTTATTTGAATTGCAAGAGCCAGCGCATCGTCCCCCAAGTGACACAAAGCGCACTGCTCGAATAAGACGGATTCTGGTTATAAATTCCGGGTTCAGCAAAAGGCTTTGGTGGATATTATTAGATAATGAATCTGTAAACGCAAGCAACAAAGTCAAATATCATCTCTGGCAGCTCTTTAATTTATAAGTATCGCTTTCAGTTTAGTACTTATTTATTACGTATCGATCGAGTAATATTTTTCAAGGTTATGTCGAAAAGAATAGATGCATCTCTGTCTTTTTTCGACAAAAACTTCTCTTAAATTGTATAACTTCGAAATATAAGCAAACGATTACGGAAAAGTGCGCCATGTATTGACTTGTTTCGTTAAAGTTGAGTACAAAGCTATATCACCAATTGCAGGGCCCAAGAGGCGAGTGCATTTACCTACGGTCACTATTTTTTGGCACATTGGAATTAACAAAAATATTTACATATATCTTCTACTTTCGTATAACGGTAAGTTTAGAAATCGCAAAAATTTGCTTCTTCGGTGACTAATGAAACCATTCCGCTCCAGTTTTCAATAACACATAAATGGACTTAAAGGGGCCGTATTTAATTTCATTTGCCACTATTTTGTAAACTGACCAAATTGGCGTGACCAAGTCCATGGTCCTTTAAATATAAAACTCGTCTCACTTTTTTACATTTTTCACTTGCCTGCTGAAGTAACAAAGAATTGAAAATTCATGAGAGAAAATTATCGTTTTTGTAAGTTTTCTCATAATATCTTAAACACATGTAGTCTTATTGAAAATGATATGTGAACATGAGACACTAAATTTGATAACCTTTAATTTGATATATCGTCCTGTTTAATATTACTATTAAAGTACGATCAAATGCCTTTCATTTTCTCGCATACAAAATTGACCCAGCCTAATAAGCCAGTTACTTCAATGCACTTGGAAACAAATTCATCACGGCAATGTTTTTTTTAACTCTCGAATGATATTTTTTAACTCTCTAATGATTTTTTTTAAACTTCTCTCTATTAAACCTACTCTCCTCACGGCCCAATATGATTAGTTCATAAACAAATATTTTTTTGAATGCATAGTTTCTCCAAAGTACATACATAGATATATAGTATATAGAAGCGTTGCTACATTTTTACCAAAAATTACTTAAATAGATACACAACCATAAAACGGAGTTCAGTTGCGCGTTGAACAGCTGAGAGTTGGCAGTGTTGACACGAATGCGGGCCTTTTTTTGCGGTGAAGAATAGAAAAAAAAAAAACAAAAAAAAAACAATTAATTTGCGAACAGGTATGTTGAGGCAAACTAATAATGGCTAGTAAAACCGACAACAATTGTTAATACTATTGTGATTATAGCAATTATATGTAACCAGCCGGCCAGCTGTATTATAGCAATAACTAGCATGCTCTGCTGTGCATTTTTTCTAACAATTTTTCTTACGTTCCACTTTAGCATGGATTTCTATTATTCACCCGCCTCAGCACCTTGTCGTGCTGTTCTGATGACAGCGCAATGTGTTGGCATTGAATTGAACAAAAAAATGTTGGATTTGCGCGCTGGTGAACACCTGAAGCCCGAATTTCTAAAGATAAATCCACAGCATACCATTCCAACACTGGTGGATAAAGACTTTGCCGTATGGGAATCTCGCGCGATTATGATTTACTTGGTGGAGCAGTATGCCAAAACCGATTCCTTGTACTCCAAATGCGCGGAAACGCGTGCGCTCATCAATCAACGCCTGTACTTTGACATGAATTTCTCCATGGTTTTCGGCCGGTATATCTATGTGCCTTTGACGACGGGAACCCCTTTTGATCCGGAACAGTTTAAGAAGTTGGAAACTGAACTGCAGCTGCTCAATACCTTGTTGGCTGGAAATAATTTTGCTGTTGGAAATTCTCTGTCTTTAGCCGATTTGTCGCTTTTGGCCACAATCAGCACAATCGATGTGTGTTCAACTGTGAAAGGTGCCAATATTGATATTAAGAAATATGCGAATATAAAAAAATGGTATGAGAATATGAAGGCCGTCGCACCTGGCTACAAAGCGAATTATGAAGGTTGTTTGGAGTTTAAGAAGTACTTCGATGCCAAATAAGTATTACATATATGAAATTGCTTGATTGTATTTGTTAAGTGTGGAATATATATTTTCTTTCTTTTGTAAAGTATTAGGCAGTTTTTGTGCTCTTACGCTTGACAATATGCTTCATAAACCTATGTGTTAAACGACTTCCATAACTACAAAAAGATCAGTCAGTTATTAAATAAATATAGTTCTGATTTTTCAACAGGTTGCGCTCCTCTTTAATATTCTTACTGTTCAAGCTAAATATTTCCTAATAATCTTTCGTTTGGCACCCATATTTTGATATTTCATATAGTCACTTATGTTAATTTAAATAAATTCGTCGTTTTAAACAGATGGCAACACTGTAAAAGTATTGTCAAGCTAAAACCTTGTTAAACTATTTTCGTGTAACACCCAAATATACATATTTAAATAATCAAATTCCCTTAATTCAAGTTGCATTTAAAAAACGGGTGGCAATCCTGCTACATGTCTTTTGGGGATAAAGTTTCTTCAAAGCCATTTTTTGATATTTATATTGAAGTAAGTTATTTAACCTATTGCATACATTGAATTAAACTTTGTAAAGATGTGTTCAGGTTTCTAATTGCCTTTATTCAAGTTAAGCGGGTGGCATCGCTCCTACAAGTAGTTTAGAAATAAAGGTCTTTGAATGCCATATTAATTGTCATCCATATTGTAGTAATTCATTTGATCTATGGTAACCGTTCAGTTTAAGTTTGTAAACAGGTGGTAACACTTTTGAAAATGTTTATATGTAGTAATCAAGATTTTTCAAAGTTTTTTTCTCCTCACTTGGGTCCCTGTTTGAAATATTTCATTTTATTTAATTGATAAGATAAATTGAATATTGCAATATGTGTATCAAACTGAAGAGGTTTAGAAAAGTTTACCGCCGAAAATATATTTGAGGGGGGTTGCTACCTGATTGAAAATTTTTATTCAATTACATTGATAAAATAAATGAAATATTACAATACCACCAAAACACAACAACAAAAACACAAAAATACTTTTAAGACGCAGTGAAGCAAGCTGGGTTTTGGCTAGTCACAAATAAAAATAAGAAAACAAGTTTTTCTAAAATCTGTCGCCCTTCGGCAGGTAATAGCAAACCACCGAGTGTATTCTTCCATGAAAAACTGAGTCAGCTTAAAACTGTAGACAACATGCACGCTACAAATCGGAGGGGAAGCTCGGCCAAACCCCAACATATTGTGTAAGCGTCAATCTATTATTATTATTTTGACTTTTGGAAAATGAACGATATGCATCTTTAAAAGACTTGGGTATTCGGTCGATAAAATAGCCGAGTTATTCGAATTTGCCACTAGTTGACTAAATACAATTATTCGGTTGACGGTTTAGAATATTCGAGTAGATATCAGATAATTGGCAAGTCATTGAAGTCGATTTATTCGAAATCTTATGAGCTTCAAAGACAAAGACATTCAAAAACTTCCCAGCGGCGAAAGAATAACATTGAAAATCAATTTATTTATACAAACGTGCCGATACGACTTCAAAATGCGTCCGCAAAGGTATTTATACAAAAATGACTTTAAATTCATACCTTTCAGTAGGAATAAATATATAGATATTTTTTTTGTACTGTCAACGATATCTCACCACGAAACAATTTTTTTCCACACTGTTGACCTGTGTTGTTAAAAATATTTAAAAATATTTTATAAAATCAAAGTGTGCGTGTGTCGATTTTATAAAAGAAATTCGGCACTGTTCTCTATCGAAATTATAAAATGTTTTATATTTACGATTTTGCGTCAAAATATTATTGAAAAATACTGAGATTCGCGTTTGCTGGACCGATTTGAAAATACCCCATAAGCAGTTTTTTTTATAAATAAAATTAAATTTAATTTTTTTTCCAAAAAAATCACTTCAGAATGGTTAGAAGGTCTGCACTTAGTGGCATTGTGCTACTATGATAGCATGGCCCAGTAATCATAGTCAACTTATGTACAGTAGACTGCATCACTCCCCATACAAAAAAAAAAAAAAAATCGGTACTGTTTTTCTACTGGAATTATAAAATCTATATATTTTAGTACTTCCACCAAAATATCTCGCAAAAATATTAAGATTTACGTGAGCTGGAACGATTTGAAAATACCTCCAAAAATTGAGTTTTTTTATTAATAAAAATTTTTTTTTTAATATATTCCGAAAAAATTACCTCAGATGACTAATAAGTTTAAGCTTAAAAAGTTTGCATAAAAATATTTAAAAAAATGTCCTACGGAATCATAATAATTAGATAATGTTGTTTTAAAAAGAAAAACTTGAATAACTCAGCTTACCAATTTAAACTTATAGAGGTGTCATTGGTAACGTATTTTCTCACCCTTTTAATTTCTTTGCGAATAAGTATGAAAGAGGAAGGTAAGATAAACGCGTGTCATTCCATGTTGAATTAAGATGTGTTGGTATTTGATAAAGAGAAATTTGGGACGTGAATGAGTTTTGCTAAGAAATAAAAAGGGTGAGAAAATACCTCTCCATTGATACCCCATAAGTCTATATCGGTAAAGTTTTGGAGCAGTTATTCAAGTTTTTCTTTTTTAATATTTTTATGTAGATTTTTTAAGCTTAAACTTTTTTGTCATCGGGGGGTATTTTTTCCAAAAAAGCCTTTGAGAAACAATTTTTATTCATAAAAAACTTAATTTTTACAGGTATTTTCAAACCGGTCCAGCTTAAGTAAATCTTAATATTTTGATAGGAGTCTTAAAATATCGGAAAAACCGCAACTTTTTTTGGTGATGCAGTCTAATGTACAGTAGTCGAAAAAGTTATAGCGGCACAAAATTTTCACAAGTTTTAAAACATTATTTTTGTTGTTATTTAATTTTGGTTAGTTTTTTATAGTTCATTCTTTAACAACATCCGTATAAATACAAGTTTAAAGGCAGTGTCAGACGATTGGGTATTTGCCAAAATTTGGTGCCAATCGTATCCCAATTGTGTGAATATCCAAATATATTTCTTTATCCCAATCACGAAAATTAATTTGTTGAAATTTTTCAATAGAACACCGCTGTATTGTACCACCTACAACACCTTCTTGCAAAAATAATCGCACATTGTTGCAGTGCCCAGTCTCTCAAATATTTTTTTTTCGCTTTTTTTTCTTTGGCGTTCCTCTCATGAATATAATACGCATTAGCGCACAGTGGTTCCGATAGCAGATCTAGCTGGACGAAAGTCAAAATGTTTTTGTTTTTAAAATACTTAATGGTACTTGGAATACATTCCTGACAATACATTCAAATAGAAATTGCATTTATTAAAGCATTAACATATGAAAACAAACAAAAAAGGTACGTCAACGCCGCCTATTTGAGAACTCTATTTTAAAAGCTGAAATTTAACTTAAAAGATTGCTAATTGCACTTATTATTAAAAAGATAAATTAAAGCGTAGGAAAAGTAAAGGCCGCCGAAGGCCGTTATAAAACCACTTGCATATTATTCTTTACACCTTCGCAAATGCCGAGGCTAAGTTCGATAACCAAGTCTAACCAATTGGCTTAGAGACTTACATTTTAGTGACAGTATGTCAAATCTCAAAATTCAAAAGTAATTATTAACAGGAATGTATCTGAATATAAATATAAGATCAGTGGCGGATCCACGCGGAAGAGGTTATGTAAGACTTAAAAAAATAGTAACTCGCGAATTTTCTGATTTCTGAAATTAAAAAATTATACAACAGGCATGCAAATCTTTAAGCGCTGTTATAAATTTGTTTCTGAAATTTATTTGTGTTTCTTGCTGTGATCTTAAATTTTAGTCATGGTAAAGGAAATCTTAAGAAGTGAGTTGTTTGACATTTGGAGAAGTGTTGCTGAAACTTCTAAAAGACAACAAGGTGTCCGTGATTATGTGATTAGTAAATTGAAAAAAATATCTGATGAAAATGCTCGTTCCGAAGTAAATAAAGTAAATTAAGTAAATGACTTTAGATTCGTAATCAGCAACCCAGAAAACCACCAAATACCCAGTTACATAGAAATCTACCGATTTTTTATTTTTAATTTTCGTCCGCCATATTGGATTCGCCATTTTGAATTTTTGGTAAATGACTTTAGATATGTAAACAGCGACCCAGAAAACCCCCAGATACCCAGTTTCATAGAAATCTACCGATTTTTTTTTTAATTTTCGTCCGCCATATTGGATTCGCCATTTTGAATTTTTGATAAGGACTTCATATTCGTAATCAGCGACCCAAAACTCCCCTAGGTAAGAAGTGGTGTAAAGATCCATCAAGGAGTATTTGTTTAAATAGTTTCGTCCAGCTAGATTTGCGATCCGAACAACTGGGTAGCGTGGGCCAAAAATCCGCTTTTTTTTAGTTTTGATTGGTAATAGCAAAAATATGGCTCATTATGCTCTAAAAAAAATCGGTGTGAAATGTGAATATTTTTGGTCGATATCCTAGGCTCGCCCAAGTCCATAAAATTTCAAGTACTAAAAAAATTGTTTTCTTAGCTAACTTTCTTTCTTTATAAAAAAGGTCCATATACCAAATTATGTAGGACTAATACTTTCGAAGGTTATTGCAATTTTAGTAAAAAAATGTTATAATTCAGCCTAGGATATTGACCAAAAAGTTCAAAATTTCATACAGATTTTTTTAAGCATAATAAACCATATTTTTGCTATTGCCAATCAAAATTCTAAAATAGCAGATTTTCGGCCCACGCTATGCGCATGCATGCATGTATGTATATGTGAAAACTCTCACATATACATCCCTATATATATGTATATGTACCCGTACATATGTTTAAATTAATTTATTTATTTTCAGAGAATATCTGAATACAAAATGCCTGTTCAGCAAGAATGTAATTTATAACAATTGTTACAAATTATCACATCTTGGTGGTCATGTATCCAAAAAACTAGCAAAGTAGCGGAAAATTAATAGTAGTTCGCTTGGAGGGCGAAGTTGCAAATTTTAACTTGCAACAATTTGCCAGTAAGAAAAACAGCTGATGGCATGTTTCTGGGTGCAATACACATTTCTAAAGTAATCAGTTGTGGTGCT